TTTTTTTTTTTTTTAGAAGGGATTTTTCTTTTCTTTTTTTTTTTTTTTAGTTTGCTATAGAGCACTTGTAAGAGAAAGTGAGAATCACTCCTCAGGATGGGTGGCTACACCAGTCCCTTTACTTCATTCTTCTCTTGGGATTTTGACCACACATGCCCGGCGTAGTTCTCAAATTGCCAGAATTGGGACTCGAACTGCATAGTCAGTCATGTGGGACCCCGCTGCTTTAAACCTCATGATACCTGGTTGGCCTCTTGGGAACTCAAAAAGCACACATTTTCTGCCTATTTTAGTTGGGTAGATGGGGCGAATCCTGGGGATCTGTTCTTATTTATAGAAGTCCATCTGGCAGGAGATTGATAAAAGTATTGGCAGGAGTTTGTGGTGAGGTGACATGTTGACATATGGAATTGGATTGAGTGAGTCCAGACCAGCACAGTGTTATCTCTTGGTAGGTCAATCTCCTGCCCCCACCCTCACCCCGCATCTGCCTCTTATGGCAGTGGGTTCAGGAGGCCCAGATGTTGTGAAGGGGTCCTCATTGCTGTTTTGCTTGTGAAGTTGAGGCAGAGATCTGGGGCCTCAGGAAGCCAGCAGCTGTGAAGGCAGAAGACCTCAAGTGTTGTGAACACAGACGTCAGAGTGAAGTGAGTCAGACCGTAGGGCCATCTGTAGCAGTAGAAGCGGTCTGGTGGTGTTTCTAACTTTTCACTGTTTAGGGTTCCATCGCTTCTCCTCTGCCCACACCTCCTCGCATTGCATGCTGCATTCTGTGTGACTTTTTTACTCTTTTGTTGGCTCTTGGGACTGTGGGTAATTTACTGACCTCTGTGAGCCTTATTTTTCCTCGTCTTTGAAATGTTGGTGCTGTCATCATCACAGGATTTTTGTGAGAATGTACAAACATTTGGCACAGTTCACACTTTCATTCTGTCATCCTGTACAGCACACAGGACACTGTTATTTAATACCTGACTGCATTCTAACACTTTGGAATCTGAGTCCTGACCATTTCCCAGGTTGATCTGTCACTCTTTCTTTCCTCAAGTTCTGGTTTGGATGATGATTTGTTCCCTGAAGTTTCGTGTTTTGGGATTGGCCCTTAATGTGGTGAAGTTTGAGAAGTGAGGCCTAGTGGTGGTGGTTGGATCACAGAGGCAGCACCTGAGTAGATTAATGGTGTCTCAGGAGACCCAGGAAGTTCCCGCTCTGCGAGAAGGGGTTAGTTCCTACAAGAGCGGGTTGTCATAAGAGAGTTGCCTCAGTTCTCTTTCTGTGTACATCTGCCATTCCCTGCTCCTCTGTCATGTTCTAGCCACCAGAATGATGAGTCAATAAACCTTTTTTCTTCCTTTTAAAGAAAAAAATGTTTAATTGCCAGAGGGCTGATAGGCTCACCAGAGAGAGTGGGGCGGGGAAGACTCCCCCAGCAGGGCATGGTCACACCATAATCACTTCTCTGTGTTTCCATCCTGTCAGAATTTTAGGTATGCATGCACATACCTGGCATGTTTTTCAAGTTGCTAGAGCCGGGATTTAAATAGCTGTTGGCCATGTGGGATATGGTTCCCTTAACCATTAGGCTGGAGGGCTAGCCAGTCTTTCTTTCTTTATAAATCACCAAGTCTCAGGTATTTCTGTTAGTAACATAATCATGGACTAATACACTCCAGCTACTGCAAGAGATCTTGCTTTTTTTTTTTTTTAAGTTTATTTTATTTATGATAGCATGTATACATGGATAGCAATGAGGAGAGCTTCTTTCCTTTTTTTAAAGAACTATTTTTTTATTACTATTTTTTAAAATCTGTTTATTTAATTTTATTTATTATTACCATTTTTAAAATTTGACCAGAGAGAGATAGAGAAAGAGTGAGGCAAAGTGAGAAAGCAAGCCACGAGGTCCAGGACCTGAACCACAGTTGGCCCTGTGGGAGTCCAGCGCCTTAACCACCACACCACCTGCTAGCCTGGCAAGAGGTACTCTTTTTTTTTTTTTTGGAGAGGTTTTTGCTATAGGGCGCGTACGCTCACCAGACAGACAAGAGAGAGACAGAGAGATAGAAAGCGAGAAATCACCCCCCCAGGGGGGATGGCCACGCCGCAATCCCTTCTCCTCCATTCTCCTGTCGGGATCTTGGGCCTGCACGCACACGCGCCCCGTGTGAGTTTAAGCCACTGGGTCGGGGACACGAACCGCGGTTGACTATGTGGGAGTCCAGCTACATAGCCATTACACTAACTGCTGGTCCTGTGAGAGGTACTCTTGATAGAGTCTTATCTGGTTGTGATCTCCTTTCCCCAGCCCTCCAACTTACCTGGGTATGTGTGCACAGTCCTGGTATGTTTTCAGCTCAATCAGGATCTGATTTTGAGGTTAGCCATGTGGCTTCCAGCCTGCAGTTCAGTTTGTCACTGACTATACCTCAAGGATGGACTGCTTTTGCTTTTTTTTTTTTTTTTTTTAATTCATGATAGAACATGTACATGTGAGAGAGATAGAGAAAAGAAGGGAGGAGGAAGAGGGAATACCCTCTGCTGGATCCGATCACACTGTGGTCCCCTTCCTCAAGTCCTCCAGCCTGTTAGATCCTGAGCACTCACACGCGCAGCAAGTTTCAGGCTAACTAAACTGGGGATATGAACTGTGGTTGTGATATGGGATCCAGCTTCTCTTGAGCAGTGCATTGTTGCTGTGCTACAGAGCTGCCCCTCCAACCTTTTTTTAAGAGATTTTTTTTTTCTTTGCCTTAAGGTGTGTGCTCTCTTCAAAGAGAGAGAGACAGAAAGAGAAATTGCCCTCTGGGGGGATGGCCGTACTGCAATCTCTTCTCCTTCATTCTCCTCCTGGGATCTTGGGCACGCACACATGGGCCTGATGTGATTTTTAAGCCACTGGGTTTGCGGACTTGAACCGCAGATGGCCATGTGGGAGTCCAGTGATGTAACCACTACACCATCTGCTGGCTCCCCCGCTCCTTCTTGATGAGCCTACTTCCTGGAGCTGTGGCATTACCTCTAGTGGTTTCTGTGGAAGATGTGTCCTTCGTTCAAGGTTTAATAGATGCCCTTCCTTCCAAGAGGCCTCGTTAGACCTCTTTCACAAGAAATGCTCATCCTCATGTTAGTCAAACAGGGCACCGAGTATTCTGTCATGCCTTTGCTTGCCCTTCTGGTATCAGAGTTGCCATATGAGTGTCTGTTATGATTGTGCTTTTTTGGTGAAGAAGTCCCAGCATGTTCGTAGGTGCGACTGTCCCAGACAAGGTTAAAGGGTTGTCCACACCAGAATTTTGAGTTCTTGTAAGGCAAGGACTGTCATTTTTAATTTTTGTGATCCTTACACACTTAAGCACATAGTGGATGTTTATTGAATTAAGTGCAGTATCGCCCCTCAGTCCTCCCAGCGTGGGAGGAACCAGCAGTGATTCAGTATGCCTATTTGCATTTTGTGGATTGAAGTTCAGCTATATTTGTATCTTTTCTTTTTGAGTCTGAGTTGTCAGTGCCTTTACAACCAGCAGTACCAGGACAGCATGTTCTTTGCATTGTGAATAAGACTGCTGGCGATCTGTAAAAAAAATAACAGCCAAGACCATCGAGGCTCACATTCTTTAGCTATGTAAATGCCATTTGCCTTAGCTTATAGATTTCTGACTTTATTGATTTTGGAAGACTTTTCTTGTTCGCTTTTGTAAAGTTGTAGTGCCTTCTCATCTTGCCAGTAGTATGTATTTTTGTCTCCTGCTTTTCAGTTCTTTACTTAGCTTGTGCTGCATTTGTATAACATGTATGGTACAATGCCAGGAAGGTAAACTGATTGCCAGCTTGCTTGATTTTAGGTGTTTAAAACCTTTGACCACATGGCCCGTCAGGATGATGAGAAGAGGAGGAAGGAACTTGAAGAGAAAATCAGACAGAAGGAAGAAGAGGCAGCAGCTGCAGCTGAGAAGGAGCCAACCCCGGTCCCAGCCCTGGCTCCAGTTCCAGTCCAGGAAATAGAGATTGACTCGACCACAGAAGCAGATAGGCCTGCGGAAGCAGAGAACGTGCAGCCTCCAGGTCTACAGGCCACAGAGCAGGAGGTGGCCCGAGGCTCAAAGGAGGCAGAAGCTCCAAGAGCAGTTACTGGGACTCCTGAAGTCTCTCGGGAACCACCAGCTCTTCCCAGGTAGGACTTTCTGCTTCTCCATAGCTTCCTTCTTTTTCTCCTGGCATCTGTTGGTTGGGTTTGCCAATAACTGGTTTTCACTTTGTAACACACCAGTCTGTACCTCAGCATTTATTTAGCTCTTCGTATTTCAAACTGGATTACAGTCCCTCCCTTATTTAGGATAGGAGGCCAGCTGGCTTCAGTGTTTTTTTTTTTTTTTTTTTTTTTTTTTTTTGAGAGGTTTTTGATATAGGTCGCGTGTGCTCACCAGACAGAGAGAGACAGAGAGACAGAAAACAAGAAATCACCTCACAGGGAGGATGGCCACGCCGCAATCCCTTCTTGTCCATTCTCCTCTCGGGATCTTGGGCAAGCATGCACATGTGCCCGGCATGAGTTTAAGCCACTGGGTCTGGGACTCGAACTGAGGTCAACTACATGGGAGTCCAGTGACAAAGCCATTAACGCTAACTGCTGGTCCCAGTCTTCTTTTTTGTTCCCTTTTAAAGTAATCTGTCCACAATCATATAACCAGTGGTGAGCCAGAGCCAAAGTTAGAGCGCTTGGCTCTCACTTAGAGAACTATGTGCAGAGGCCTGGCCTCAGCATCCTTCTCTGTGTTCTTGTCCTTGCAGGAAGACTGCCAGACTGTGTGCCCAGAGTGCTTGAGGTATGATGCGTACCTAATGAGGCAGTCTCATATAGGGGCTAGATTCACATCCCATTCTACTACTTGCTGATTGGATTGCCTTGGCCAAGCAGTGTAACCTTTTTGTGTCTTAATGGTCTTCTCTTGAAATGGAGGTGATAGTAACAGTACCTGCCTTGTAGGGCTGATAACATTTTAAATGAGCCACAAGTTATGTAAAATGAGTGGTAGAACTTGTATGATATGAGGCTTCCTGGAGTCAGCCAGTTTTGTGCTGACTTGCTTTTTAGACCTTCATTTCCCAGATGCTCTGAACCTGGTACATAGTCCTTCAGAGGGAATTTGTTTTGGATTCCTGAGTAATACACCAGAATAGCTACTTATTGTCTTGTAGAGACCCATTTTTTTCCCTCTTGAACCAGTAAGTTGTATTCTGGTCAGAAGTATAGTTATGGAGGGACCAGTAGGTGGCATGGTGGTTAAGGCGCTGGACACTCCCAACATGGCTGACAATGGTTTGAGTTCTGGACCTGGTGGCTTGCTTTTTCACTTTCTCTCTCTCTGCGTGTCTCTGGTCAAATTAACATAAATGAATGAATGAATAAAATTAAATAATTCTTAAAAAATGGTGTAGTTATAGAGATAAACAGATGTGACATTCTTGGTCTTTAGTTTTTGGTTGTCCACTAACAAGGCAAGAAGTTGTAACCCAGCTCTCTAGTCATCTGAAATGCAGTGTTACTGCAGATCTGGAAATGGAATTTAAAAGCCTATCCTTTTCCTTGTTTTGGCTGTATCTGTATCCCAAAGGCTCTCTGTCAGTGTCCAAGAGCCCATAAACTGATGGGTTCTCTTAATAACCTAGAGAAGTTATTTTTTGAAGTTAGTTTCTCTCTTCTATGAGCAAAAGAGAGAAAAACAGAGACTGCACCCCAAATGGGTCTGATGCCCTATCTGCTCCAACCTCAACTTGTCCCAGATTACTGGAAAGCATGTGCCTGGAATTCTCAAGGAGGTCTTCAGATTTGAACCAGGAACCTTCTCATCGCATTTTATGGTACACTACTGTCTGGCCTTAGGATAGTTGTAATCACACTGAAGCATCGCCTGTTTTAGACACTGTCCAACTACCCAGCATCTGGTTGCAGAGTACCATTTTTTGGTGACTCTTATTTGACAGGTGGCTACTGATAGTCTCCCCAGAATTAGTTGAATACCCCCTTCTCTTACTCTACAGTCAAGTCATATCATGTGCTCATTTAATTTATATAAATTCAGCATGTGTGCTGAAACCAAAGAATAAAAATGTAGGTATTGGGGCCGGCAGGGCACTGGACTCCCACATGGCCAACCATAGTTTGAGCCCCAGACTGGCAGCTTGCTTTCTCAATTTTCCCCCTCTCTCTGGCT